AAGGAGTTACCCATGCATTGGGAACATGTCATAGACAACAATGGTCATTACATTGTAGACTGAAATTGCATTTCAATAAATTTATAACATTTTGAAAAATTTGTGCAGTGTTGCAAGACTTTCTTTCCAACCCAATAGTTTCCACTGTGACATCACTTTCAGGAAGTGAATGAAGACATATAAACATGAATCAAGAACTGCTAAGCACAGCACCATTAATTTTGACAATTGAACTCTCAGAAGGAGCCCATCATATGAAGCACACATGCCTCTTCTTCCATATGTATGAGTGGGATGAAAAGTTCATGAACTGAATTAAGCATGAAGAGTACTTCACTGATGCTTATATCCCCAATGAAGAACAATCACTTCGTGGTGGGGTGAACAGCTGATCCCATCCATTGGGAATGGGATCAGCTGTTCAGATCCATGACAGATGGCCAGTGTCTATGACCTTGTCATGGAAAAATTTATGGACCCTTGTGCTCATGCACAATGGTAGTAATCCCTGGACAAATGTCATATTTTTCAAGTTGAGGAAGAAAAATTATTTTGTTATAAAAATTTATGAGGAAAGTCCTTGTCTGGAATCAATATTTCTTTAGGCCTCCCAGTGTTCCTTCAATAGCTATTATATAGTACAAAGGTCAATGATTCCAACCTTTCTTTAATATATGTACATTATGCCAAATTGTGACAGAAGTTTGCCACGTAATACAACTGTTCTTTTCACTGTGCCTTCATCAGGTGTGATCAAAAGTACCTAAGGGGATCCTTGCTTATTGTAAATATGCTATTACTCCTACTGTAAAAACACCAAGAATGCTAAACTCTGTCCTATTTGTGGGGAAAAACCTTCACAAATGAATAACCAAGATCATGCTCAGAAGCACTTACATCAACCCAGAAGCTCAAAAGTTTGGGGATTCTCCATTTCATTGCTCATTCTGCTTTTTGAAAATGTGATTCATATGAGTTATAGATTGGATTTGAGGAAAAAAGCATGTTCAAGGAAACGCATTGCAGACTTAATTACAAGAAGCAAAGACACAAACTTAGATACAATTAAATGAAGAAATGTAATTGGTTGTTGACAAGCCAAAGCAAAATAGGAGTGGATCCAGCAGTCACGGTAACACAACCAGACTACATCTCTCAGGCTTCTTTGATATCCAGGATCACAATTCCTCAAATAATGTCTTCTGCCTATGAGAATGGTGCAGAGAATTTCTCCAAGAACTACAGGAAAACAGAACTGCTTGTTGCCCAGTATCCATAGTATTCTATGTCCCCTGTTATACATAGAGCTCTGTGCATGGAAGCTAACCCATAAAAGTGATGCTGCTTCTAGTTTGCTAAAAGGTCAAAAGAAGCAAAAGAGAGTTGCAACAAGGACTACAAAGACTAGAGAGGAGACCATGCAAGTAAGACAAGCCAGTGACATATGGTAGTGTGGAATGTTTACTGACGTAGATGTATCTCACATCTGGTCAGAGGGAAAGTCAAGAAATATTCCACACCACTGTATGTCAATGACTGCTTCAAAGAGTACAACACTCTGAAGACCTTCCAGTCTTAGGAAATCTGCTCCTAAGGTGTTTGATATCTACCATGGCATAAGGGTTTAACTGCAAAGACTGAGCAACATATTTGGAATAGGATACATAAACAAGAGAAAATCTTTTCTGCCTACTACATTATAGTTTCTTTAGAATACTTCACTTTCATATATAATAGGATGTAAAATGCCTGCACATGCACTGGAAGAATTAGACAAAAATATGCAAAAAATAAACTTAGACCATGATGTCCGAATTTTTTGCTGTTATCCACTTTTCATCAGTGCAAACTTCCTATTTTTCACTTTCTCCACATTATAAATTTAAAATAAAGGTTTCATCAAAGGCAATTTACATCCTAATTTCTTTTTACAAACACAATTAATACCAGTGCACTTAAGTAAGTCAAGAAGCCTCTTCAGTCATGGACCAACAGCCATCATTTCCTTGCCAGCCCTCTGAGGCAGATGAAGTTGATGCCCAACATGTTGCCAAGACCATCCTACTAGGAAGGAGCCATCAAATCTTTGAGGACTCTTCTTAAAGCAATAGTAACATATTGGTTACCTCATGGAAATTTAAAGATATATTTAAAGGGAGGTAAAACTAACAATTGTGTGGAATGAAATCAACAGGAGTTTCAATGTGCTCCTTAGGGAATTTTCCTGGCTTTTGTAGGACACGATTGTCATTGGTATATTCATTCAGGGTTTGCTCCTCCTCTTCCCTAGCATCTCGGAGTTTTCCATCCAAACGCAACTCATCTAATGAATTGGGGACCAGGTTGAAGCCCTCCTCGACACTTCGCTTCTTCTGCTGCTTCAGCATTGTTGAACTCCCATTGCTCTCAGAGGTAAATGACCTGCTAGGAATCAAAGAAACCAAGAGGCTCCAATCACTGATGGAAATAAATGAAAATATAAGGTGTAGATAAAGGATTCTAGGAGGGGAGGAGGAGAAATGTACAGTCAGATTCAAAAATGCATCCAACACATACTCGCATTTGACGCTGCACTGATCCCTGTTGCAGACAGTGACCTTGTCCTTGTGCTTGCGCACAAAGACATCATTCATGATGTTATCCTGGAACTGGACCTGCCGCTTATAAGTTTCCATGTCTGTCTTCTTCCCTTCACAAGGGAAGCAGTCACTTGCACTTAACCACTTCAGCTTCTTCTCATCCTCCTTTGCCATGAGTCGCTTCTTGTCTTCGTTCTTGACCTCAATGGCACTGAGGAGCTGGTTCTTATGGAACTGACTCCGGATGAATCCTGTAAGATCAAATATTATTCAGGCATCTTCTTCATTAAAGTCCACATGCCAAATGTCACCTCCATCAATGCAAATCATATCATATTCCTGGAAACAGCAAGAGACCACACAGCTATGATTTCAGTATTAGTGTACAGGAAATCCAGAGGAAGTTCAAGTGACTAGAGTAACCACAGGTCCTGAATTTTCTGGGACTACCTCACAGTTGGCAGCTGTGTTCCTGTCCATAGCAGACTTACCAAGGACGCCATTTTCCCAAAAGTATGTTTGAGGGGTGTGCTAAAAGCATCTTAGCAGTGACCATCTTCTAATGAATCTAGGTCAATAACTAAATATTTGCATGACTGCCTGTCTTTGAAGGATCAAGTCTCTGCAATATTAAATTAGGCTTCTTCATTGCTTAAGCAATCTCTGGACATGTTATTGCTGAGTCATTCTCTAAACGAAACCAACACGACTTCTCCAAATTTGATCAAAGTTGGTGAACTTGTAGTTACATGGTCAGTTGAAAACAATTTCATGCTCAATTTTTGCTCCCAAGGTTGACAATGTGAGCTAAAATGATCAAGTACCAATTTTTACTAAGAAGATGTGCAAGAAAAATTTAGATGCATTCAATTTTGTGAAGAAATCTGAGGACAAGCATTTCATTGGTGTTAGTCAAAACTACCAGGAGAATTCTAGAAAGTTTGTCATGTATTGGATTCAACTCTTAATATGGGAGAGGTTTTCTGCATATGCCAGAAATAGCATAGGCCGATAAGACTTTATGACTCATCTTTCAAAGTTTACAGGGTCCAAACTATAAGATGCTAAAAGTCAAAGACAGAAAAATTAGAAGAGAAAAAAAAAGTCTAACCATCCTGACAATATTCCTTCTGGAGCTGCTCTTCCACACTCTGAGGGATCACCTCAATGTGAAGCTGATACTCTGTCACAACACCATTCTCTTCAGTTGGGGGAGCCCACTCCAACACCAACTCTGAATCTGATTTGCCCCATGCAACAACATCTCTTGGGGTCCCTGGTTCTATTATGGATAATTGTATTCACAGAGGACATAGTCCCAAAATACTTACTACCAGCTAAGAGTGTAAAGAAACATACGTATAGACTGTGTGGTGAAATAAAGAATTTCAGACATGGCCCCCTTGCTTTCAACATAAGGATTACTTCTAATCATGTACGTGTGCACATAAAGGGCATACTGAGTTGCAGGCTTCAGGATTTTAAGAGTCTGCCTCACATATTTGTCATTGCCTTCATCCTGATGCTTCACATCAATATCTGTCCACCTATGGAAGAGAAGGCAGATAAGTGATTCTTGAATTCATGTCTGAAATGCAATTAAAAGGAAAGGGTAAGGAGAGCAAAGAGACTAACTTGTCTTTGCTGCATGCATCCCGTCCATCATAGATGGACACATTTTGAGAAGGAGCTTCCCGGTAAGACACTACATAGTTCACCAGATCTCGTGGCTGAACAAGATGCAAGCGATAATTCTCCCAATGCACCTGCCAGTCTCCCACAGAACGATTGTCCTGCATCACCTCGCTGACTTGTGCCCAGATTTTCACCACATTGCCTTTAGAAAACAAATGGAACACATGATACTCAATTACCTGGCATAAAACCTCATTTAATTCTGTGAATCAACACCACAATCATACATGCTGCTTGGTCTCCATTGGTGGTATTATCTACACCCTCTGGTAGCGGAGGGATAGTATGGGATCCTGACACATTCTGGGAACGATTCCAGAATGCTTCAATGTGGCTGAGACATAGCTTTGGGTTGTGAGTGAATGAGATCTCTCCTTGTTCAATGGTCACATTCATCCCTCTCTTATCCCAATCCCAGAGTTGTTGAAGATTTGGATTATCAAGGACTTTGATGGCATACTTCCCATCTTCTAAGACCTGGCCACCAATCCACCGTAGATGCTTCAGGAAATTCAGAGAAAGCAAACTGCCACTTCTTGCCACCTTAAGGTAATCCCGAATCCCCTCTATAGAGTCAAGATTCTTCTCCAATTCTGAGACTACATCATCTGCAAACATAAAAGTACATTCTTCTATTACAGTACAGGAAGACCAAGTGAAACATTTCCCAGCACAATATGATGGTTCCTTCTCAACATGCATCAAGCATTGAGAGGAATCATTAATAACACTGAGACTGCTGAAAGATATTCTAATTTCAGGGAATGTACCAACACAATCAGGGGGCTCGAACCTTTTTACTAAGAATAGCCATTTCAGATAATTAATACCAAATATGACCAGCCTGCCAGTCAAGCTACTTTGAAAATCTTAGCAAAGTTTTAATAACTTTCTAGTAATGTATAGTTTGGTTCTGCATTAGATGCCACATGGTTATTTGGAAACAAATTCCCACAGCTCAGTAGTACCTGAGAGAACCAAGAATTCATCAAGATCCTATGAGAACTTAAATGATGAGATCCTGAACAGACAAATCACATCTCATGACCAGCTTCCCATAGCATTGAATCATAAATGCAGTAGAAACATCCTCACCTCCAGCTGTGATCTGAATTTCAAGCTGACCAGCAATATAGGTACAACCATGAAGGGCTTTTGCTTTCTCCACTGAATCCAACAGATTTCCTTTGCATTCCTTCAGACATCTCTCTGCAAATATGAGAGGAGGGTGCATGAGAGGGATACCCACAAAAGATTATGAAACAGAGAGAGGAACCACATAAGGAACTTACTCTCATTGCATGGAGAGCATTGCGGTTTGGGAATTCCACTTTCTGTTGGACAGTGCTCAGTTGTGTTTGCAGGGCAGTCAAGAATGCATGACCCATCCCAGATCTTATAGAGTTTCACTTCTCTCCTGCTTTTTGGCCCCCCATCCAGTGGTGGATTCATGGTCATGCATTCTTCTAAAGTAATGCATCTTTGTTTCCCAAACTATGAAAACCAGAGCATGCAAGGATAAAACTTACTTCAAACAGAATCCTTTAGCTATACTTTAATGTCAAATCAATATATTATGCATAAACCACCAACCAAATTTTTATTTGTTATAACTATTGATGTATCAATATTAATACCAGAGATCAGATGATGACATAAGGTGAAGATCAGTTTCAACTGATCTACCAATACCATTTAAATCTCTGGTCTCACTAAAAATCACAGGCCATATTTAGTGAGGCCAATCTCTTCTCCTTTCAGCAATCCAGATGGGCTGTCATCACAACCATGGGTTGAAACACATTTACCCATGAAGCCATCACTGGCCTCTCCAAAAATTGAGCCAAAATCACTACCTGACTCAAGAGTTTATGGATCTCACACAAGCATGGTAGAATTTATTATTTTCCCCCCTTTTTTAATAAACACAAACAGGCATCAGTATGTCTAGTTATTCAATCAGGACACCCTGTACTATATTCTGAAATTGGTATGAATCACCAAGATACCAACCATAAAGACACACCAGCAAAATGAAGCCAAGATATGATGAAATCATGTCTGCCTATAACAGACATATTGGAGCCATTTAAATATATAAAATAGGAAAATGTCAATGCCATAATTTCTTGAAGCCAAGGAAGAAGCATATTGTAAAAGCCTACATCAACTGAACTCTCATCTGGAAGAATAAAAAATTCCCTTAAATTAACCAAAAAAAAAAGAGAGATTAACCATACCACATAGAAACCAGGAGGGCAGGAAGAAACACATTCTCCTTCATGCCAGTAATTCCTGCAGGCAAAACAGCCTGAAGATGACTGATTGTGACATCCTCCCACACATTCTTGATGACAGCATGCACCAGAATCATCACATGTCCTGCTTCCACACTTCTCAGGGCAAACTGTAGAGCAGAAAAAACTCAACTGCTTTTCACTGCTTTTCACACAGCCATGAAGTGATAATATCATAAACCATTGTGGTCATTCATGAATCTAACATGTTGATTCTCTCTCAGACAATGTGGAATGAAATGGAGCACAATAATAGCTTGCTAAATTTCAAACTTTATAAATAGACTGAAACTGACATGGTAGGAGGACCTCCTTTGTCTCCGATAAACACTTTCAAAATACTGGGAAATATTCAAAGGCTCAATTTAGAATAATTGCTTTACACTGAATACCTTAAACTATAGTCCAATGAATACCAATACACTAGAATTGAGGTGAAAGCCATTGGTAACATATCCAAACTGTTGTCTAATTGAAGATGTTATTGTTCCTACTTTTTTGGCAGTGGTTCAAATCCCAGCAGAGGGGAACTTGTGCCTTGTCCAGGATAGGACAGGAAGTATTCCAACAGACATCTGGACAGGAACTTCGAGGTTTATTATCCTATGGAATGAAAGGAAACCAATCATTCAATCACAGAACATCCACTTCCAATTTTGCTTATCAACTAACCACGAATACACAGATTGAAGAAAGGCCATATAACCTAACAGCTATTATAATTCAAAGCAAAGGGCAGACACTTAGTAATTTTCTTCCTTATTGGTCTTGGGAAGCAAGTAAAAGATAAACATACACATATAAAAGAAAAAAAATTAGCTTGCCCAATCCTTTCAAAAAGAAAAGGTGGTTGAATTGCACATAGGACCAGTAGAATAAGGGTGAAATTTTTTAAAGGTCTTCGATGACCAAACATAATCATTATGATGATGGGAAAATGATGAATTCAAGCAAATCTTGTACTTACTGCAAAAAAGTGATTTCTTTTGGGTGCAATAACACCCCAGTCGATAGAGTTCAGGTAGCACAGCATTGGGTTCCTTTCAATTCTCACTGGGCCTTCCATCACCGATGTGAGCTGGTGCAAGCCAATGTTCTGCAGATACTCATTCTGGGAAGCAAAGCTTTTTGTTAAGGCCAGAGGACATTTTTTCCATCCAGAACTCCACTGTAATGAATTAGGTGGAACTCACCTGATAAATAAGAAGGGCAAAGTTATGAAAGAGCTGCTGCCCTCGAATCACAGTCAACCGAGGAAAGAGGCCTGAGAGCGTCTGCAAGGCTTTATTTTGGTAAACAAAAAGGTGGTTAGCAATTTCTCTCAGGTGCTTAAAAGATGTGTTGGCCAGGATGGACACATGAGGTGATGATGGTGAGCTGGCAAAGGTTCTATGTGTATCTGTCATTACGACCCACACATGACCATCCACAATAGTGCAATTGAGGAATGGATCCAGCTGCCTTGATCTCACAGTAGAATCTGTGATCTTCAAACTGGGACAGACTGCAAAAGAAAAAACCCCATTACAGCAATTGCAATACATTAAGGCATGTGAAGGAGTGGGACAAACTTAAGAAAGTGGTGTGCATGAAAATCCACTCATCGCAGTTCCAGATTTATATACAGGGTCGGCCAAAAAAAAAAACAAAGCTATCATATTTGGTAAGTTGCTATTTTGATTTGCAATTTTGATTAAATTTGGTAGATAGATAGGGTGACTCAAGTAGGGTTTTTTGTGGCAAATTTCAGATCAATATTTAAAAAACTGAGATTGGCATTTAATTTAAATTTCATCACCAAATAAGTAAGTGTTCATTTTTCCTTTAGCTTAAAATCTTTAGCCACTGACAAAAACAAACAAGCAAACAAACAGAACAAAAAAAAAACAGAAATACGTAACATGAAAGTATACAATTTGGTTTAGGGACATTCATTTCAACTGAAAAGGTGCTTATTGTGCTCTCCATTCTGCTTAACACCAACCTATAGTCTGGGACACCACAGATCAATGGCTCAGTTAATAAATCTTTCAGGCAGTGCCTCCCAATTTTCCTTTGTAGCATCATGCAGGGATGGAAGTTCATGAATTCAGACCTCCCTTTCATCCCAGGTTGAAATTCATATCTATATTTTAAACAGCACATTTTGTTTTCAGTCATCAGAAAATAATTACAGCTCTCATCATTTTGGGGCCAGAAAGCTGAAATTTTGTATACAAACTCCCAACTGTGTCATCCTATAGGTCTACCAAGAGTAATTAAAATCAGCAACCTACAAAGAAATTGACAATCACTAAAAGTGACAGCTTTGTTTTTCTTTTTTGGCCCACCCTGGATTTGCTCACAACACAAGGAGAAAACTACCCAACAAAATTATGAACTACCTTGTATGAAAAAAAGCTGAATCCACAAAGCAATATATGCTTCAAGATTTCTCCAGTCAACTGGCAATCAGTTAAATATGATTAGAAATGTTGAACACTAGAAATGGATGACTACACAAAAAAATGAGTATCACTTCCCTTCATACTCATTAGGTGAAAAATATTCAATTTCTTAAAGCAATAAAACACTATTGGTATTTTAACTCTGGGTACATGGCTTAACCCTTTGATATTTGAGTTTTATACAGCAAGTTTGAGCTCCCTTGCTGAGTCTCTCTGTAGGCATTACGAAGTACCCCCAAACTCTCAAAATATGGCAGAAGAATTCATACCAAATCCATATCTATCATGTAACAACAGCAGCAACAAAAAAAAAGGAAAATAAATAAATTTAAAGTCCATACATTCCAAAAAAAACTCAATGCCTTTCTATCTCTTCAATATGAATATGCCTATTTCATTGATATCTCACATTTTCTCCAAGTGTTTGTTTCTATCACAATCTCAAAAAAGTACAGAACAATATGTTACAAAACTTGCAAAAATAAGAGCAACTTTCTAAAATCTGTTTAACAGGTTAGCCATCATGCTATGCACCAGTGCACTTCACTAAGTCCCTTTTCCTATGCAATGGGGTGCACCAGTTCTTCATCTTCTCCAAGGAATGTAAAAATTTATTTCAGCCCAGCAAAGTCACCAGGCCAACATGGTCAGTGGTCAACATGTTAATACAAAATGATTGAATTCACGAGGAAGCTTATATCACTGGCAATTGAGGTAAAAACAGATTTTAAGCATATCCTGAACATCAATAATGAACAGAAAAGCCATTTGAAATTCAATACCAGAACCTTGCCCCCTAAATCCCCAACATACCAATTGATGTCAAAAGAAATATTTTTATATTTTAAATAAATCTGATTAATACGCTCACTGGATTAATATTTAAGAACTGTGACTTTTGTTGTTTATTTAAAAAAAACTGAAACATTGTGCTTAGCAAATGTCATCTTTGCAAAAGAATAAGACAGAAAGTACAAGTTTCAGCACAACAAAATGATCAGAAGAGCAACTGAAGTAGCATTTTAGTCATGGAGTTCAATGCTTAACGATTCATCATGAATGGAAGCAGGGGAAATATAAAGAATCTCTCAGTGCTGCAATGAAGTAGTTTGGAGCAAATACACAATTCTAAAAAAAAAAAAACTGAGCAGGGGAGAGGTAGCAAACAGGATGATCCCTTTCATTTTTCCTCAATTGCCTAATCGAAACTCCATGAGTCATGGAGTTTATTACATCATAAATTAAGGGGAACTTCCAACCACGAGGGAATCATGTGACCAGTGAGTGGAATTTTGAGCAATTCATTAGGAAAGAGAGGGCATTATCCACTCAAGCTTGGGGGTGATCGCTGCTTTTCCTTTTAGTGGTGTTTTAGATGCAATATTAAGTAAGACTATGGAACTTTAGCAAGCCCTACCAGTATACCTAAAGTAATGAAGCAGATAAGAAAGCAAATTGGTTCCTAAAAAGACTTCCTAAATGCTGTTTCCCTGGTTTCAAAACCTTCAATGGATAATTTAAGCATGATGGAAATTTTCTGTTATATACATCATCATGGTTTGTTTTATCCCACAAGAGATGAATTGGGAAATGGTATTTCACTTCCCAATTGATACATCAATGAATTGATCTCTGCTTCACCTACAACAATACGGCATCAGGGTATAGTTAGGCCAAATCAGACTTAAATGACATTCAATCCTGAAAACCAACACTTACAGACTTGACTTGGGGCTATAGCATATCCAGAAGTATTATTTTTCTTTCATGCATATGGCATGAATACTTTATCAAGAAAATACACAAGGAAAATGAAGACTTACTCATTTCATTTCCAATGTGCTTGATGAAAGTCTTATTGTTGATGCTGTCATAGGAGAAGGAAGGTCTTGGGCACTTGACCAAGAAAATCACAAGAAGAAGCCAAAGGCCATCACCATTTCTCAGTTTCATGGCAAAGCGGCTAGGGTGCATGAGTCTCAAAATTGACATCCAACCAAGAAATATCAATAGTGTCTGATCACATTCACACCTCCACTGCTTTGAAATTTTCATAGGAGAGGCCATGGTTGCACCTAGCATTAGCTAGGGCCTATGTTGGGTGAGCAGATGTGCTGCAATTGAGTCCATTCCAGCGTCTTCTTCCACGTGGATACAAATTGGAGGCCTTATGGCCAAAAAGCAAGCAGGACCACATAGGCCTATGCAGATAATCTCAGCCTGGAGAGTACACTTTTCAATTGCAGCAAACCTTGTCACTAACTGAAGCAAAACAGAAAGTCTCAATTAACTTGCTCCCTGTATTGGCTATGATAGCCAGCAGGCCTAGACTAGGCTCAACAAATAGAACACAGTAAATGCAGTAAATATATATTTTTCACTTGAGTCACAGCTGCATCTACCTAGCATTTGACTGACTTGACTGGTCACCATATTAGATTGCAAACACCATCACATTAGATGGAATCCCAAATTATGTGAAGGGGGTTATCTTGGGGTGAGAGCATAATAGCATGGAAGAGTAAATCTGAGATCATGATGGGTTAATGCAGTCTTCTGCAAACAAGAGATTGAAAAGGGGTCATAGGAGGTTTGGGATGATATAAGAAGTCTGTTTCCTGTCATTGAACAAGTTATCTAACAATAAGCACCCCAACTATGTGAAGAAAGAAACCTAACAAAAAGCCATGGCTGAAAAATTAGCCTTCGGCTGGTTTAGCAGGAGTAAATGGCCAAAAAACCAGCCTATGGCACTAAAAAGGGTCAAGGGATTAGTTAGTTGAAACACAAGTTAAAGCAAAGCAACATTTTCTAATGTCACCAACATGGTAGTCACCATTATATTGCTAGTTCAATCATTTTCTCCCTACTATGGCAATGGAAATATATTCCAATCATGGCCTAAGACACTTAGGCTTTACATGTAACAAACATGAATCAGCCGTCATTCTGCATGCATGCAAATGTATGGAACAGCCGCTTTTTCTTTTATGTCCATGGATGGCGACTTCCCAGCAGGAATCCTTTGTATGCACCATTCATGTTGCTTCCTTATACAGATCTTATTGCCTCATGCTGGCCGAGCATGAGGCATGCAGATTTGACATGCGAACCTCATACCAATTAGCCTAGGGAGTGAACGCAACAAGGTGGGATGGTCCCACTTTCATAACAGAAATAACACAAGTATTGCCATGCGTTGTGAGTTTGGCGGCCCCCAAGGGAAGGTTGACAAAGACCCATGAAGTGTTGATGTGACTATGGGATACATGGCAGCCGCTGTGTAGCTGATATTAGAAATGGACAAGATGTGACCTTAAATTTATTCAGGTTTAAAATCAATGTTTAAACAGCTCAATTGTTGATTTTTTTTCACATTTACCATAATAAAGCAGTGATTTTGTAAAATATAAGCATTAACAAAATCACAGGGATAATATAATGGCAAGAAATGGCTATCAGTGAGGGCTTTAGAATGATTGGAATGGAGCAAAGCTTTAAAAAAATTCATGGAAACAATGGATTCTATTGGATTGACAACTACTAATGTGACCATGGGCCAAAGTTAAGCTATTAATCCAAACAAGGTCTTTAAAACACTGATCACTAGTTTTTCTCTACTTCCTTTGAGTATTCTTAGGCGATGGATAACCATAATAGACCTGTTCAGCCGACTCGTGTCCCCGTGCCGTGAGATATCCCTCGGCGCAGAGAGATGTCCGCCACAATTCGGCGCTGAGAGGCGTCCCCTACCTCCTCAACTACCGACTCGTGTCCCTGCTAGCCTAACTTTGCCGAGCCATGACCTGCGGTAGAGAGGCGGTAGGACTAGATTCTTGGGGATTTCTCCCTAGCAACTAACGGCTGGTAATGAGACATACATACGACTCCAATCACGAGCCCTCACTGAATATCACGAGACACCTGTAATATACAGCGTGCCCCAGTAGTTTATGATCCCTAACTTTTACAGATCCAGACGAGAATAACAGGAAAGTACGGATTTATTTGCATTCCATCCAGCCAGGAACATAGCAGAAACCAATTACAGCTTCAACCTTGAATTCTTGGTGCGATTTCCACCATTTTCCAGGCACTTGAGGATCTGGAGCAAAGTTCTCCAGTAGGCGGGTGGCATTTGATGGAATGGTTTCCCACTACCCCCAGACCCTGCTAATGAGTTCCTCCCGATTTCTATGGCGCGGCTGACGCAGATAGCTCTGCTTGAAAATCTCAGCTTTTCCTGTAGTTTTCAATGAGGTGTAATTTTGGGTTTCGGGGAGAACGGCTAAGAAAACGTAAAGGTTTTGCAGACGCACAATAGTCAAAAGCGAAGAACGAATTTCTGTAGAAACAGTTCAGGCTCCTTGGACCAGGAGCAGGAACCGTGCAAAATTTCAGTGTCGTTAAAATATCGGAAGAGAGTCAATATGATGCGAAATCATAACTGAAAATTTTTGGAACTCCCCATGCCATTTTTTCAAGTTGCATGTGAGTCATATCACTTGGAAATGTAAATCTTGCCAAATTCATTAACTTCCTCAACCTGTGTTCTCTCGTGCGCGAGATAGCACACACTCCTTGGAAAGTTTGTTTAGTCTTCGAATTTTTTTTTCATCGTTTGCCCTCGCTTTCAAAACTGAGATAAGAGGTATTATCATGCGCTTAGACGGCATGCACTTTGAAATCAAATTCTCGAAAAGGTTGCACTATGGATTCCTTCCAGCCCCCACCTTCGTTTCCCAGAAAAGACAAGTGGCAACTGGCCAAGGAATTGCTTCCCCAAATTGAGTAACCTTGACGTGGGTGGGGTGGGGGTGGAAAACGCCCGGAATATGAATAACATTCCCATGAAATTCCAGTTCATAGTTCGTTCTGTCAACCCCCTAATCCCAACCTATGCAAAATTGCAGTTTGATGAAGTTGCAATGAGGGAACTGTATGTCTTTGCGCACACTCTCCCGGAACGTGACGTTACTTCACGTTCAAAAACAAATTTAAAATCCTGCCCACTTTCGTTCACTATCTTCCATCCTTCCCGTTTCTGATTCCAGAAAATCTCATTTTTCCTCAATGGACCTTCCCTGAAGGCAATCGCGTACACTGTAGTCTTCCAATTTTCCCCGCATGTAACTCTCAGAATTTTGGAACAGAGGCAGGGATTGAGTTCTAAACTTCTCTCTCTCTCCCATTACAGCCACAGGACCATGTCACATGCATATTTCCGTACGTTGCTTATCGAACCAAGCCTTGGTGACTTCATGAAGGCCTACGGACTATGCGTGAACACGTAAGAATCGGGCTTGTCACTATACGACAGTTTCCAAGTGTTCCACACACACGGATAGTTTTAAGGAGGCCCTGATCCCAGCGTACATAATGCGGGAGTTCAGTTCCATTTCTCTACGTCTGTTAGGCCTAATTCATCCAGGAAGATGTTGACAAGGCGAATATTCGGAACACCAGATGGAGGTTGATATCATGAACGTTTAAAGTATTAGAGGGTGGAAAGGGGGCTGAAACATCCAATCATAACCTCATGTAGGACAGAACTGCCGAGAGGTGGCCTGGCTCCTTGCTGTCGCCTACTTGTGTCCAGGGCATCTGACGGCAGTGCCGAGGGATATCACTCGGCAGGGACACGAGTCGGTCAAATAGACCTATGCCTACACTTGCTCTTGGGAAATATTCTCCACAATAAGGTCTTCGTTTTCATTGGTCTAGCCACTTTGCTTGCATTTTCTCAATGAAATTAACGACAGCACTGTGTACGAAACTTACCCAACAGAACTAACGTGTCCCAGACAAGTGGCCAAAGAATCCTTCCTGAATATGCATAGCTGGCTAGCTATGCATAGCAAACGGTTAGCTGGCAATCACAGCCAATGAAGGTAATGACGTAGCTTCCATATGGGGGTTTGGGGTAATCAGGACTATCCGGTGCCTATCTGCAGCCTAACGTTAGACCTATCATAGCCCAACGTTTACAATATCCGAACATATGATAGGCCTAAGTTTAAAAAATGCCCACCCTATCAATGAACCAGGAGTATAATTCACTGCCAGAGTCGACGATGACGTGAAATAAAAGAGGACATCGGGTTATTAACGAAAATGTAGGCTACGCAAGGAGCAGGAGTAAGCTGTGAGGAATCCACGTTCATTCACAAATGCGCAGTTGTGCTCAGGTAGACGTCACGCTCTCATAGCGGTCATGCTTGCTCTGGCCTCTTCGATTACCCCCTCCAGGACGTAAACACCCTGTGAGGAACCATATCCGACGAGTCCCACTTCTCAACTCGCTCGACTTACCGATGCGATAATCGATAGAGGTTTTTATAAAATAACCTTTTCCCGAGTATGTGGTATGAACTGTAAATACGGGCACCTATGGAACAAGTCAAGTTGAGACTCAGTTATATGTCACGGTCGGCCATTCGCCGTTGAAAGTGTAGGCGTCGTAGTCGACTGTCCTTCAGGTAGCAAGGAGTGAAGTAGATCATCCGTCTGATGGACCATGAGGTATCATTCGTAGATCTCTCACAGGGAAAGGAAGGTCTCCGATTCTTTTCCTGATCTGGGACATTCCTCCTCCGTCGCAGCTGCATATCTTAAAGCATCTTCTCAGATACGTATTTCCCTCAAACACCTTTCCTCCTGGTACCAAGCCTTCCATTTAGGCAGATGGAATCCTTCATGGGAATAAATCTTCTGGAAGACGGTATGAGATCATCAGAATACAGATCTTGCTGACATGCCCCATGAGTTTTTGATGAATTCAGCATTACATCTAAGAACCAATCAGCCAAAAGTCATTACAGTAACCAAAACAAACAAAAATTAATCTCGTTTCCTTACCTCCTTTATTGCCACTTTCACAAGAAAACACTTCCCTCGTGAATTGAAATCAATAGCTTTCTCAGAAGAGGCCAGCCATCGCGATTTGCTGTAAATTTCTTGTAAATTTCTTCCTGAAGTGGTCAGTTGGAATACCTTGCGTCAGCGAGAAACCTCTTCATACAGCGTAAGTCTTTCGCGACGAGAAGTCCTTGCTGTCTCATGGAGAAGAGAAACCTTTTCTTATTCATCAAAGAGACGCCCTCACTGGTCTGTGACAGCACGTGCATGCTGACGTCAATCTCTGCTTACGGTGGAAGTGCATAAATAGAAATACTTTTTGTGTTCTATGACGCAACGGCTAAAAAAAGCCCGGGCAGTTTTTTCCTTCGTTAAAGCAGGAAATGCTGGGTGTCATGTACGTGTG